TCCCTACAGTAAACTCAATTTCCCACCATTAGGGAAGCCTTAAATTGCTGTTGAGGTACAGCTGTTGCCTAGCAAAAATTATTGCTCTGTATGCTTCTGTTACATACACTTTATTTTTAAAAATAAGAACCTTCCTCTGTACTCAGCAAAGTAACAGAAGATCCATGAGAAGAAAATAGCAGAACGCCCACAGAAAAAAATTTAAAGGATTAAAGTCCCCCGTATAGCAAACTTAGGTTCTGTTTATTTTAAACAAACAATTATGCTTGGGATTATGTTCCTGCATGCTTTTCACAGACACTCCTGTCATTCAGTTTTAGAACTGAACTGTCAGAACTAGGGAGGCCATCACAATTAATGCAACTTGACCTTCAGTCATGAGACATGGCAGGGTTCAGTACTAATCCAATCACACCATAGTTCTCAAGCCAGTACCTGCTTTCACATTAATTCAAAATTCCATGAGCTTTCCATAAACAGATTTTATTTCAGAAGAGTCAAGTCAAAGCTGCTTAAGCCTGACATTCTGCACCTAATACAGATCCACATAGTAAGAAAATGGTAAATTATAGAGCATCTCTCAATATCCCATATCAGGTTTCCACTGAAAATGAAGTACTACAGCATCGCAGGCAATTTCCTTTTCCAGTGGATAAGGAGACACACAACCCCAGGAAATCTCCCTCAAAGTACAATGGGAAACCTTAGGTACATCCTTGTTCTTTCTCTCCACTCCTCCCGCAGTCTTCCTGCATGCATCATAAATAGCAAAGACGAGAAGGATGGACCTCCTGTTTCACAGCATGTCCCGTTCTAGAAAACTAGGTCAATTTCTGTGCACATCTGGCAGGGAGAGTGGCCTGCAGAAGCTGCGACAGTTTCTATAATGTACAGTATGAATCACTACTCTTTGATGTAGCAATCACTTGACAAGACTTCTTCCTGGTGTGTAACATTGACATCCACCCACCCTGCTGCATACATACTGGGTGCATCTACATGAGACATTTACTGCGGAGTAGGCTAATTAGCTCAACAGTAAAGTCTCAGCATCTACACATGTGGCCCTATTAGAGCATAGGAAACTAACCAAATCCACTGTAGGTTAGTGTTTGTAAACACAGGAACTATCCTTTGGTGGCATTATTTAGTGCACAGCAACAAGCATGTGGATGCCGATGGGAAAAGCTAGGGCATGAGAGTGCTTCCGTATAGGGACAACCTTCCAGCTAGCCCCATACTGGGGTACCCTCATGCTCCAGCCAGCCCCTCTACAGCATGTTGAGCTGGGTTAAAGCAGCCCTGGGCTGGCAGGCTGACCCCCCAGGCTCCTGCCAGCCAGGGCTGCTCCAGCCTGGCTCAAGGTGCTGTGGTCCCAGGTGTACGTGTAAATGCATTGCCTGGGAGCAATAAATTCCAGCATGAAACGTACTGGAGTTTATTGTGTTGCATTAATTTATTAATTTCATGTGTAGATGCACCTATTGTTTCCATAAAGTAGAAGTGCCAGGGAGGGGATGTTGCTGGTATTTGAAGGTAACAAAAGACCGTTTTTCTCCCACCATTTTTTTCTTCCCACACACCTCAAATTCCCTTTTTGTGGTCATCCGTGCCCCAACCCAAAAATTAAGCTCAAGCATAAAAAATACACAGCTGTGTGGTTGTATGCTACCCCAGACTTTCTTCCATATGCTTCTAACATGTCACGTATTCACTCCCACATCTATGAAGTGCCCTTTCACACACATACTTTCTCCTTTCCTGCATAGAAAGGGAGACAGTTCAGGTATGAAGTGTTAAGTTGCACTTTTCTTCCATCTCTTTAGATTCAATGAAGAATTTTCTAGTGGCCTGGATTCATGCTGAAGGACAGGGTGACAACTGGGTGAGTTGGGCAGGAAAATGGGCTATGCCGTCATTCCAGCTCTGCAGATTATTGGCCAAATAATTAATAATCTGAGCCTGTGCCATTGTTTCTGGCAAGGAAACCTCACCTGGCATTCTGTTCCACTGGAGTGGTTGGAACAGGATTTCCATTCCCTCTTGCATCTTTCACCCATGGAATTTAACCCAGAACTTTTCACCCTCAGCTCTGATGATCAATAAGAAAGTGGATGTCTCTGCTTAAGCACATGGAGCTCCTTGAAATTATTGCACGGGCTGATCCCGGGTTCAGCTCACAGGTAGAACAAGAGAACCTGCCAGATTTATTTTGTGTGTACCATTCTTTATACCAAAGTAACACTTCTTGTGGCAAACAAGAATTAGAGAAAGAAAATGCTATAGTAACACAGATTCTAAAGTTTGAATCCATGGTTTACCATTCATTATTTTCAATCAGTTGTCTGTTGTAATGCATGGGTGAACCTTAAATGTAACAGAAGGCAATTTAACAAATTGCATTAAAATGGACAACCAAGCTGTAAAGCATGATTAACTTCAAGTTTTGGATCCACAGTACTGTTTAATGAGAGCAGAAAAGTTAGGTTTAGTAACAAGTTTTAATTAAGTCAATTTGGTGAAGTACCAGGTGCCCGGTATAACTGACCATAGGTTTAAGAAAATGAGCTATTTGCTCATTTCTCCTTACACATCTCTGATATAGCATTGAAGAATTGCTAGTTAGAACAAAACATCTTCTAAATGCTAAAGTAAACTTTCTACTCCATACATCCTGGGGCTTTAAGTAAAACAAATTTTTAAAAATAGATTCTGTTTAAATAGAACTCCTTATTCATTTCAATGGACAGTTTTGCAGAAAAAGAATAACCCCCCTCCAAAAACAACACATTATTGGCAAGGTATAGCCAATATCATGAATCAAATATCCATCTATAAATAGGGACCTCATTACAGGTTACACTGAGGTGCTCAAATGTTGATCGGTGTTAGTGCTAGGTGGAATTTGGAGCAGTGACATGTTCAGGCCAGCCGGCAGCCTGAAAGATTGAAAAGTAAGAATCCAAGGGCAGGTTTACCCTTCCCTGCCAGATCCCCCAGAATAGACAGCGAGAGCAGCCACAACCAAGCACAGGGAGGGGTAGGAGAGGCAGCGAGCAGAGATCTGGGGTGCTGGGGACAGCCTGATCTGAGCCAGCAGGGAAGGTGTGGGGGAGGCACCTTTACACTAACATGCAGTCTATAGTAACACAAGCTGGATACCACAGATCAGAGATAAGCCTAGGCTGGAGTGCCATAACTTTAAGCTTCCTAAAGAGCATTTAAAACTAGGTTCAGACGTTAAGGTGAGGACAGTCCAGGGGTTAAGACAGGGATGGACAAAGTCCGGCCTACGGGCTGGATCTGGCCAGCAGCTGGACCCCATTTCTCATCCACCCCTGCCCGCATGGCTGTGGATAATCTCCATGAGACCCCAGCTGCACCTACACTGTGATAGTGCAAGGCTGGGGTTGCCATGGAGACCAGGCTCAGCCGCACTGGCAAGGTGCACAGCAGAGCAGGGGGCTGCTCCAGAGCTGCTGGGATCCTGCGATGGGGCCAGCTTGCTCCAGAGCCAGATCAGAGCTCCAATCTGCAGCCTGCACGCTGTGGGCAGGGGTGCACAGGCAAAGGTAGCAGCTCTGACCCAACTCCTTACAGCGGTGACAGCCTGCTCTGGAGCAGGGGCAAAGTTGCAATCCCTGCCTGCGCACTCCTGCCCAGAGCGAGCAGGCTGCAGGTCGGGGCTCTCACCTGGCTCTGGAGCAAGCTGCCCCATCACAAGATCCCAGTGGCTCCGGAGCAGCCCCCTGCTCTGCCATGCACCCTGCCAGTGTGGCTGAGGCTGGTCTCTATGGCAACCCCAGCCTTGAGCTTTCACAGTGCAGGTGCCATGGAGACTGGCCACAGCCATGCAGGCAGGGGTGGCTGGGACATGGAGTCCAGATGCTGGCTAGATCCGCCATTTTTCCCACCCCTGGGTTAAGAGCTCCAGGAGCTGCTTAAAATTAATGTACAACAAGGCCCTAAGTTTGTCTTCTTATAACACCAAAGCACATTACATGTTCTTGTTTATCCAATTACACTAAAATTTAATGATTTCTTCTAAAAGAAGAAAAAGATGCAAAGAACTGTAATATGCTACAACTAATTTGTGACGTGGAGAAGCAGAACTCAAATATCAAGAGTCTTCCATGAAAGATGAACACGCAAGATATTTTGAATATGGACTTCAGTTTTTACATGCATTTAATTTGCAAAATATAAAGGCAAAGTATCTGTTTATAATCAAGAATGAATCAAATTAAAAAACTGTATTTAAGACAAGTATAACTTATAAGTTTCAAAGCAATGGCATATCAGAATCTAAGGAGTTTTGCAGTTGCTGGAACAGTATCAATGGAGATCAGCCAAGAAGCTTTAGAAACAGCCAACCCACACAGATATAGATGCCACTGCTGGACAGGGAGGTGGGGAGGGGAAAGCATTCCATGGCTTGGCATTTGAATCTAGCAGCTGCCAAGGAACATGTATTTGTAGTCAGAGTGCTGCCTCCAAGGCTAGAACACTTTCAAGAAGATGAGAACACAAAGGGCAGCAAACTGAAGACCAAGTACAGCTAGGAAATTTCAGTGCAAGGAAAGAATGAAATGATATATAGCTACCAATTTTCCTTTTAACAGCACTGCTAGAAAACAGATGCCTGCAGAAGCCTAAGCTGTAGACTGAATGAAAACTGAAGTGATGTTTGTAAATTAAGATGGTAGCTTTATTATTAAAATTTTGTTTCAATAGTATTCTGTTAGATGCTTTCACTGGAAAGGAAAACAAGTCAAAATGTGAGTAACAGCAGTAAATGTTGTTACTTTCATTTGTACAGATTAATTCCAAATTTCAGGGGCAGGGAGGGTTTGGAAGATTGGGGTGGGGAAGAATCAATAAAGAGTATCAAATTCCTCTACATATTATAGGTGATATGAGAAGTGGCAAATGTCTAAAAGAAAGGAAATAGCTCAAAGAAGACCATAAACATAATTGTTGCTGCTATTAGTAAACAAATTCAGTAAATAACATACATAATAATGAATAGTTGGTGTAAAGTAATTATCAAATATGTTTTTATTTGTTACTAAAGTATTATGTTTGTTAATAAAGCATTATGTAGCAATTGTAAGTAAAGGGCCTGAAAAAATCAGAAGCGAAAAGGTCATTTAAAAGCACTTTAATGTTGATCTGTTTATGAAAAAAAGTAGACAACTTGTCCTATGTCTAATGTTTATAGCTATAACTACAGTAGTATTTATTGCACCTTGAAGAAAACTCCATCTACCATAAGTAACATGGGCTTCAAGAAGACTGGATGTCAGACTTTACAAATGAAATATTAGTTTAGGCATGGTAGACTTTATTTTGGCACTTTAACAAATGCTTTATTTTACAGCAGTGGCACAGCATTTGCCAGCAATATTCCTTTCTTGGCACAGTTATTCCAAGCAGTTATTTTACTAATTGAATTTCACTAAATATTGCACAATAACATAGACCTGCTAAACTCTTACCCTGTTTTTAACTGTTGAACATGTATTGCTTTGAAAAAAAATGCCAATACAAGTAAATAATGAAAAAGCAATATATTAAAATATCATGGCACAGGATACCTTTAATTTTTCCTAAATGACCACTGAATTCGGGGCAACAACAGATACAGGTTATGCTGTTTTTCTTTTCTTTTTTTTGAACTGGGAGTTTTATTTAAAACCAATTGATACATATCTATGAGAAATAGTATAATTAAATCTTCTCCCTGAACTATTTTGGAACTTAAGAAATTGGAAAAGAGGAAATTAATAGTCCTGAAGACAAAGCTGCTTGTTTGTTAAAAGCATAACTTAGGCAGGCATACCACTTTAGTCTCCACAAGCTATCTGAATTGTAACCCAAAGGCAACTACAATTCTCTTCTAGTTGGAATATTTCTGCCTTCTCTTATAAAAATATTCCATTATCCCAAGGCAGACAAGGTTCTTTGGATGAATCTGATCTCTTTTATTAGACCAACTTAAATAGTTGGAAAAAATGTTCTTAGCAAGCTTTTAGGTTTAAAAACCCTTCATCAGGGTTTATCTCAATTCTTGCTGGTGTCATAGTAGAATCAAAACAAGTTTCTCCAAAAGTTATAGTAAAACAATGAATAAAGAACCGATATACATAATAAATGAAATTGTGCACTCCTCTAAATTTTACAGTACTGAAAGTAACTTTTGCATAAAGTACATGTCTGTGTCAATACCGCCGTTAAGTATAATACAAAGGTTGAAACACTCATAATTCATACGCCAGATGCTAAGCTTGCTCCCAGACAATAAAATATTACGGGTTTCCCTGTCACTTTTGCAATAAAACTGTTCCAAGCATCAGCCTCATCAATAAGCTTTTTTTGGTCTTTGGGTCCCAACAGTATTTTCCAAGATCTAAGGAATCATAATTTGTGACATTAAACATAACCAAAAAGACATAAAATGAAAAACATACAAAAGTATATCACAATGAAATTTTCAGTATTAGGCCACATGATTTATTCAGTAGTGTTTATGTTCCCAAATTACAATTTATGTCTATCCATGTAAGACTACAAAAGTTACCATTAGAATTGTCTGTGCTTATAAAATACCAACATTTTCTTTTACTGTTATATACTCATTAACACCAGTCTGCGACAAGTTACATATAATCATAGGCACTTCAAAGGCTTTAAAGGACGTTTACAACTTAAATGCATTTTTAAGAACAAAAATTTAAACCCCTACTTGTACCTTCAATTGCAAGAAATTAACAAATACAGTGGCCATAGAAATCTGCAGCAATTTCTCAGAATACTGTTAAGAGTCTTTGGGTTTGCTTAGATTTGTCAGTAGCTTACTCCAAATCTTCCTTAAAGAAGATTTGTTTAGTAAGGATACGACTAAACAGTTTGTAATTATATTCCAATTTTACACATTAATTTGCTGTTACAAATCTCACAGAAGCTACAGGTACATTGAGAAACAATGCAAAGTGTAAAATTGATATTCTGACACTTAAATTTATACAAAGTGGAGGTTAAAGTTTACTTAGCTGAAAAATTACACTTACACTATAAGGTACCGTTATCTGAATTATCTGAAGACAAATTGCACCATAACAACTACAAAAAGGCATATTTTTTTGGAAACAGATAAATTAACGAAATAAAAACTAACTTGTAAGATCAATCCGAGACATGCTGACAAAAATTAAACAACTTTCATTGAGCCATAGGATAAAACAATCATTTTCATCATCTTATATTTATGCATAAAGTTTTAAAAATGATTCAGTGAACATCAATGGTTTTATAAAGTAATGCTTTGCCACTGTTATTCACAGAACACTGCAAATGTTAAGTCTTAACTTTGCATTTTTAAAGGAATACATGAAAAGTTTTAAATACAATGGGATTTTTATCATAAAGGTGCCATAATGGCTCTTTAATGAAAAAGATCTTCATTATTCTATGCAAAAGCTTTATTTAAAAAAGTTCAGTGATCTCATAAATAGAGACACTAAATAGGAATTTTATGCATAAAATTCCTTAGTAGGTGCCTTTTGATAGGCAGCACTGGATGGTTTACGTTCACCGAGGTCGTAGCTGCCTTCATCCTTCTTCCTCATGCGGTATACCAACAGCAAGATGAGGAAGATTGCAAAGAGAAACCCAATAACTCCACCAGCAATAACAGCTGAAACAAAATGAACAACAGTTCACAATATGCCAAAATAAGATGAATAGCTCCAATTTACTTTCCATTGCTGAAAATAAATTATTTACTATTTATTTATAATTAAAACAAAATTACTCAAATTAAGAAAATTAAATAAGTTCCTAAAATAGACCTGTTTAAATGATCTGACTGTCAGCATGACAATATGGTCCATAGTTCTAAAGATACTAAGTAGCATAACTCTTTTAAATTAATAATGCCCTTAGAACAATCACAAAGGTGTTTGTATATAAACATTAAAACCTCAGGTGCTTTCACATTTCCATTTAAAAGAGGAATGTAATCTTTTCTACATTAAAAATTGCTATTCAGTTTCACCAAGGAGAATACAGATTACAGTGAGCCTCATAAGGACACTTCAGGATAAGAAATTCTAATAGTTTGTCCCAGGACAGTGCAAAATGTATTTGAATGGCTGTCTCATTGCATAAATGGCAGAAAAGTGGCAATGCATTTAGCTGTCCACTAAACCCCAACTGAAAGGACAATGTATACATACACCAATCCCGGCACTTTTGTGTTGCAGGACAAATGCAGGCACCATTTGTCCCAGGACAAATGCAATATCTGTTCCTAGCCCTTGAGTCTATTGATCTATGATGCAAAACTAAAATTATTTTATGGCTTGAACAAATGTCTGTGGTTCAAATGTGGTTCAGATGCCCTCCACCCAAGGGTGTTGAGGGAGCTGGCAGGGGTCATCGCAGAGCCCTTGGCCCGGCTGTATGAGCATTCGTGGTCATCTGGCCAGGTGCCGGAGGATTGGAAACTGGCTAATGTGGTCCCCATTTTCAAGAAAGGGAAGAAGGAGGACCCAAGTAACTAAAGGCCTGTAAGCCTCACCTCAGTGCTCAGGAAGATCTTGGAGAGAATCATCAAGGAGCATATCCATGGGGGGCCTGCAGGGGAGATCATGCTCAGGGGCAATCAGCATGGGTTCATCAAAGGCAGGTCCTGCCTGACCAACCTGATTGCCTTTTATGACCAAGTAACTAAATCCTTGGATGATGGTGTTGCCAGGGACATAGTCTTTCTAGACTTTAAGGCCTTTGACACTGTCTCTCACCCCATCCTCATCAATAAATTAAGCAACTGTGGCAATGATGCCTACACAGTTGGATGGGTAAAAAAATTGGCTGATGGGGCGCAACCAGACAGTAGCGGTGGACGGGTTGTACTCAACCTGGTGAGATGTGAGCAGTGGGGTACCCCAGGGCTCAGTCCTCGGGCCCGCACTATTTAACATCTTCATCAGCGACTTGGACGAGGGGGTGGAAAGCACGCTGTCCAAGTTTGCTGATGACACTAAGATGTGGGGCAAGGTGGACACACTTGAAGGGAGAGAGAGGCTGCAA